CGCCCAGACTGGAGTGCAGTGGCTGTTCCCGGCCACCGCAGCCTCGACCTGCTGGGCTCCGGCGATCCTTCTGCCTCATTCTTTCAAGTAGCTGGAACTACAGGCACGCGCTACCACGCTTGGCTAATTTTTGATTTATTGTAGAGATGAGGTCTTGCCAAGTTGTCCAGGTGGGTCTCGAATCCGCGGGCTCAGGCAATCCACTCACCTTGGCCTCCCAAAGTGTGGGATTATAGGCTGAGCCACCGAGCCCGGCGATAGTTCACGTTTTTTTAAAGAGAAGCTGGAAATCTGTATTTCCTTGACAAATTAGGTTTTGTAAAGGGCTTTGATAAATTCCCTGACTTAAAATGTCAGCAACAAATTCAGAGTTTTTAATTCTTTTTTTTTGTACTTGTAGAGACAAGGTCTCCCAAAGTGCTGGGATTATAGGCGTGAGCCACCTGCCCAGCCTAGAATTTTTAAAGAATCTTGTGGTAACCATAGGCTGCCATATTTGCCACCCTGGTATGACTGATAAACACACAGGCTTTGAAGCCAGATGGATTTGGGCCCTTATCCTGGCTTTGTTATATATTAGCAAATTGCAAAAAACCCCAAATCAAGGAACCAACCAAAAAAAACTCTTTCTGTGACTCAGTTTCCCTCATTTGTAAAGTTGGGAAATTGTAATTTAACCTCTTAAGGTTATCAAGAGAGAAAAAAAAAGAAATGATAATTTAACAGTGTCTGACCTCCTGTGAGTGTTCAGTAAAGGTTGAGACAAATCTAAATGCCACCATCTATTGCATGTAGCTATTGCTAGTGAGATATTTTCAGTGCTGTTCATGACAGTAGCCATTAGCCACATATGGTTTTTTTTTATTTTTTAATTATTTTTATTTTTGAGTCAGAGTCTCACTTTGTTGCCCAGGCTGCAGTGCAGCGGCACGCTTACGGCCACCCCAGTGTCAACCTGCTGGACTCAGGCAATTCTTCTACCTCAGCCTTCCAAGTAGCTGGAACCATAGGTGCACACCACCACACCCAGCTGAATTTTTTGATTTATTGTAGAGACGAGGTCTTGCCAAGTTGCCCAGGCTGGTCTTGAACTCCTGGACTCAGGCAATCCTCTTGCCTTCACCTCCCAAAGTGCTGGGATTACAGGCATAAGCCACCGCTCCTGGCCTATGTATGATTTTTTAAATGTAAGTTTGAAGTAATTAAAAGTAAATGAAGTTAAAAATCCAGTTCCTCTGTTATACTACCCAAGTACTCAGGGACCACATGTGGCTGATGGCTATCATATTGGACGGTGAAGATAAAGAACTTGTCTGTCATCACAGGCTTTCTGGGACAGTGCCACAGTGGTTTATTTGAGGATTTGTTGGTGTCATATCTTTGTGGAGCCTTAAGGACTTAGCAAGTGCTGCGTCTCCAAGCACAGGCAGCAGGAAACCAGTGTCTTTCTCCTATCTTAGGGACTAGCCCTACCATCCTGACACTGTTTATCAACCTTGACCATTACTCGGTCTCCACAGTCCCCCCAGCCGGTGCCCATGTCCTGTCATTTCTCCCTCATGCCTCTGCTCCGTCATCTTACTTTATTTTTTTTGTGAGTCAGAGTCTCACTCTGTCACCCAGGCTGGAGTGCAGTGGCATGCTCACAGCCACCATAGCCTCGACCCGCTAGGCTCAGGCTATCTTTCCGCCTCAGTCTTCCAAGTAGCTGGAACCACAGGTGCGTGCCACCACGCCCAGCTAATTTTTTGATTTATTGTAGAGACGAGGTATCACCATGTTGCCTAGACTGGTCTCGAACCCCTGAGCTCAGGCAGTCCTCCTGCTGTGGCCTCCCAAAGTGCTGGGGTGGGATGAGCCACTGTGCCTGGCCCATCCTCGTTTCCTTCTCCCAGCTGCACCATCTTTGCCGCCTCCTGATCTGCCTGTGGCGCTCACTCCTTTCCATTGCCCACCCTGACCCCAGGATGATTTTTTTGAAAAGGCAGATCTGACCATGCTCTTCCTTCTTAAAACTCTTTGGTGGCTCCTCTCAGCTCTCAGGGCGAATTTCTTGGCCTGTCCATGCAAGGTCCTTGTCCCTTTCTGCTGTCTACCTCCTCCCTTTATAAGTCTCTGAATTCACTATTTACTTCCTGATGTTCCCTCGGGCCTCATTAGTTGAGACATCCCCAAGACTGAGTTGGGTGGCCCTGAGACCCCTAGCCCCATGTGCCTCCCCTCTGGACACTGGTCACTTTGCTGTGTCATTGCTGATTTGTCTGATTGTGTCCCCCATTAGATGTTTGCTCCTTGAGGCCTAAAACTGTTCATGGTTGTATCTTCAGCACTTGGCATATAGTAGATGCCTCCAAAGTAGGGAATGAATAGATAAGTAAAGGCTGGTGAGTGGCATACATCTAGTGGTCCTGCTGGCTCCATTTGCGCCCATGTGTCTGATTGTTCAGACTTATGAAGTGTGACAGTTAAGTTCATGAACTCATCCTAGAACATGCTACATACCTTGTCGCTGATTATACTATGGTCACCTTTGAAGTCTTCCCTTTGGAAGCTTTGCACTGATGCCTGTGCCTAGTCCACCTGTCAAAGCAATCTTGGAACTCTTTTTCTGGAATGGCTATTAGAGTTGTCATCGTATTACCCTTGATGTCCTGAATGCCACCAAAATGTCTTCTTTTCAATATTTTCTTTATCTTTGGGTATAGAAAAAAGTCACTGGCGACCAGATCAGGTGAGTAGGGAGGGTGTTCCAATACAGTTATCTGTTTACGGGCTAAAAATTCACTCACAGACAGTACTGTGTGAACCGGTGCCTTGTCATGATGTAAGAGCTCCTTCGGGACCATTTTTACACACATCTTTCTCATGGCAAGATTTTTGGTTAAGATTTTCCTGTTTCTCTATCAACGTTTATTTGGTCTTCTTTGCTTCTCACAGTCAACTGACAATTTTGATGTCATCAGTGATACTTTCTCTCCCCTCAGAAAAACTTTTAATCCATTTGTACACTGCTGTTTTCTTCATGGTGCTATGCCCATAAACTTGGACTAACATGTCCCTGATTTCACTTCCACTCTTGCCAAGTTTAATAAGAAATTTAATGTTTGTTCATTTGCTCTAATTTAAGCTCTGACATTTGTGTCAGCACACAAAAACATGCAACAACAATAATGACCACTCAGCAAGACACTGCCACACATTGATACAAACACAGCTGTGAGATACTGATATACCAAGGTTATGAAACCTTACTGAGCTATTGTATAGTGCTGCCAACATAAATGCACAGTGGCAAGTTCGTGAACTTAATTGCCAGATCTCATACACTAGACAGGAAATGGGGGGATATGGTGAGGGTACGTGAAGGTACATGAGCAAATACTTTCGTGTCTTTCTTTTCTTTTTTTTTTTGCAAACTTGTCAAGCAAAGTTTATTTAGAAAGTAAATTGCGGGGGGAGATTCACCAAAGTTTATTTAGAAAGTAAATTGCGAGGGGAGATTCATAGCTCAAAGAGCCACGTGGAGACACCACAGTTTAGTACACCACATTTTAACAAAGCAATGGCTTCATGTCTTTTTTTTCAAACAGCTGGCTGGCTCCGGATCTCGGCGGGATCAGGCCCGACAGCTGGTCATAGATCTAGAGACTCGAGGGAGTCAGGCCCTTCCTTTATTCATCTCCTGCTTAGAGGACACAGGCCAGGACACACTGGCTTCACTTCTGCGAACCAACAGGCAAGCAGCAAAGCTGTCGAAACCAACCCTGGAAAACCTTACCCCAGTGGTGCCCAGGCCAGAAGTTTTCAGACCAGAAACACCCAGACCAGTGGACAAAGGTTCTGAAGGATCCAGTAATGTCAGTGAGTATCAGGAGAGTGGTTGGTGGGTGGGCATGATGAACAGTCCTTGAGGAGTGACTGTGGATACAGCTGGGTGGGCTGAGAGTCTGACGTTAACTCGGGTGTTGTCCTTCTGAGGCTCAGAGGTGGGTGGATCGTTCTGGTAGGTCTTCAGATTTAATTTCAACAGCCTGTCCTCCGAAAGGCATGTGCTGAAGTCTATTTTGGATGTCTCAGCTTTCTTATTTTTATTTTTTCCCCTGCCTTTGACATAGCATGGCTCAGGTTTTTGTTTTTGTTTTTTTTTTGAGTTGGAGTCTCACTCTGTCGCCCAGACTGGAGTGCAGTGGCCACTCCCGGCCACCGCAGCCTCGACCTGCTGGGCTCCGGCAATCCTTCCACCTCAGCCTTCCAAGTAACTGGAACTACAGGCGCGCACTACCATGCCCACCTAATTTTTGATTTATTGTAGTGATGAGGTCTCGCCAAGTTGTCCAGGCGGGTCTCGAACCCGCGGGCTCAGGCAATCCACTCACCTCAGCCTCCCAAAGGCGTGGGATTACAGGCTGAGCCACCGAGCCTGGCATGTCTCAGGTTTTGATCAGAGTTTCTAGACCCAGCTACTGCTTTGGATTTGCGTTTGGGTCTGGGTGGGTAACTTGGGCTAACCTATGCCTGGGGGCAGGAGAGAGACTTCTGTTTGTTGAATGTGCCCATGTAGACATTTATCTGTGTGGTATATGCCTTTACCTTCTTCCCACACTGCAACCCTGTAAGGCAGATACTATTTGACCCATCCTTGCTGATGAGGAAACTGACTAAGGCTCAGGGAAATTAAATAATTTGCCTAAGGTCACCAGGCTACATCTAGTAAAATACATACAGTTAGATGATTTTTACCTGTGTGTACACACAGGTAACTAACACCCACAGCAAGACAGAAAATATTCTGGCTGGACGTGGTGGCTCATGCCTGTAATCCCAACTTTGGGAGGCCAAAGTAAGAGGATTGCCTGAGCCCAGGGGTTCAAGACCAGCCTGGGCAACTTGGCGAGACCTCGTCTCTACAATAAACCAAAAAATTAGCTGGGTGTGGTGGCACACACTTGTAGTTTCAGCTACTTGTAAGGCTGAGGCAGAAAGGTCACCTGAGCCCAGCAGGTTGAGGCTATGGTAGCTGTCAGCACACCACTGTCCTCTAACCTGGTTGACAGAGTGAGACTCCAACTCAAAAAAAATATTCTGGTGTCCTATAAAACTCTTTAGTCTTTTCCCAGTCAATTCTCACTCCCCCTTCCCGAGACAATCACTGATCTGATCTCTGCTGTCATAGATCGCTTTTGCTTGTCCTTGAACTTCAATCGAAATGAAATGAAAAGTCTCCTCTTTTCAGTCTGGCTTCTTTCACTCATCATGGTCGTCATCCCTCTTGTGCTTATCAGCTGTTAGTTCTTTCTCATAGCCAGGTGGTGGTAGTGCCCATTCTGAATAGTCCACAATTGATTTAGCCATTCCATTGGTGGACATGTGGCTTGTTTTCAGTAAGGGCTGTGTTCCTGTGGCAGCACGTGGAGCTCCAATGCTTCCTATCTCATGGTTCATAGCTGACCATTGTGTGGCATCGACGTTAATAATAGGAAGTGTTAGGATGGCTGGATCTGAGTCTTGCAAGAGAGAACAAGAGGAAGACAAATTAGCCTGAGAAAGAGTTAGAAGGAGTATGCCACAGGAAGAACGAGGATCTGGGCGGCATGCCATTTTGAGAAAAGCTTGTACATAAGGAACCTTGGACCATTTGCCCTTGTGGCAGCAATAGAGGTAAAGTTGAAGGAGTGTATGAGAGGCAAGAGGCCCGCATTGGGTCCCAGCTTCTGGTCGCCCAGCTGGTATTGAGGAAAAAAGAATGAAATGCTTAGGGCAGATGTCCTTTTCTAGTGAGAGAACCCTGAGACCTTTTAGAATGCATTTCAGGCCTGGCTCGGTGGCTCAGCCTATAATCCCAGCGCTTTGGGAGGCTGAGGTAAGTGGATTGCCTGAGCCCGCGGGTTCGAAACCCGCCTGGGCAACTTGGCGAGACCTCATCTCTACAATAAATCAAAACTTAGCTGGGTGTGGTTGCGTGCACCTGTAGTTCCAGCTACTTGAAAGGCTGAGGCAGAAGGATCACGGGAGCCCAGCAGGTCGAGGCTGTGGTGGCCGCGAGCGTGCCACTGTACTCCAGTGTGGGCGATGGAGTGAGACTCCAATGCAAAAAAAGAAAAAAAAAAAATTTCAGTAGGGAGGCCTTCGCTACCCCAGATTGAGGGTTCCCTATGGGGAGTCCTAAAGAGACTAAGGGATTGGTCCTGAGAATGGTCTCGAAAAGCCGGAAAAAGAAAAACCCATCCATGTTCTCAATTGGCGTCTCAAGAGAGAGTCAGTAGAATCAGCATGTGTGGGATATTAAGTGAGAAAGGGAATCCCCTTGGTTCCCTTGACCCTGATCCAGAGGCAGTCCTGCCAGTAGTAAGGCTGCTCCTATGCGTGTTCGGAAGACTTGGCACCAAGATTTCTGAGAGGGGAACCCTGAGCCTCAGCGAGAGAGAGATTCCGAATAGATAAAGCAGTTTTTCAAGCCCTTTCTCAGACCTTCTAATGTAGGAAGAAGTTGGGTAATATATGGACTCACAAGTCGACGGTGTTGGAATTTCATACCAGATAAAGCTGAGGCAATGGGAAGGTCTGGCCAAAGTGGCTCATCAGGTTGGGTGGTGAAAGGGGAGAAAGGTGAAGAGAATGTCAAGGAAAGAATTTCATCTCTCTCCCTAATGGGCCGCAGTAGTCTGCCATCTTGTCCCAGAACCTTCAGGTTCGTCAGGGAGTTGCCTTTGAGTTCCAGCACAGTCTACAGAGAGACTTGAGTTAGAAGGGAGGAGAGTGACAGAACATGGAGAGGACTCCACAAGTAGGAAGCTAAATCCCCATGTGGGGTCACCAAAAATGTTAGGTTGGTGAGCCAGTGCTGCTGGAAAGATGTAAAGAATTGCACAAAGAGTAGGTCAGAAAAATTTTATTTAGAAAGTAGATCAAGCGGGCATGGTGGCTCAGCCTGTAATCCCAGCGCCTTGGGAGGCTGAGGTGAGTGGATTGCCTGAGCCCGCGGGTTCGAGACCCGCCTGGGCAGCGAGACCTCATCTCTACAATAAATCAAAAAATCAGCCGGGCGTGGTAGCGCGTGCCTGTAATTCCGCTTACTTGGAAGGCTGAGGTGGAAGGATTGCCAGAGCCCAGCAGGTCGAGGCTGCGGTGGCTCGGAGTGTCCACTGCACTCCAGTCTGGGCGACAGAGTGAGACTCCAACTCAAAACAAAAAAACAACAAAAAACATAAAAGCTCCCCTTTTATTGGGGGCAGGTAAGCACAGGAGCTGTCGCCATGGTGATGGAGTGGGGGTCTGTGTCATGTTGATCAGGAAGGGCTGATCAGCATAGATGAGCTCAGCTTGGCCCTTTATGGCAGGAAGACAAATACTTTGGACAAAAGGGTAATTAGTACAAAGCATGCTTGGGGGGCTACAAGAAAATTATCAGTAACTACCTCTGGGAAGCCAGTTTTGTTTCTTGTTTAATGATTATAAGATGGATTGAAGTAAGCTGCTGAAAAACCATGACAAAGCTAAGCAATGTTAAAATGGCTGCCACCCTGACAAAAGTTACTCCCTTTTGGCTCTTCAGCCTTTCAGTAATAGTAATGGTTAACTTTTTTTAAAATGTGAGTTGGAGTCTCACTCTGTCGCCCAGGCTGGAGTGCAGTGGCATGCTGCTCATGGCCACTGTAGTCTTGACTTGCTGGACTCAAGTGATCCTTCCACCTCAGCCTTCCAAGTAGCTGGAACTACCGGTGTGTGCCACCACGCCTAGCTAATTTTTGATTTATTGTAGAGACAAGGTCTCATCATGTTGCCCAGGCTGGTCTCGAACCCACAGGCTCAGGCAGTCCTGTTGCCTCTGCCTCTCAAAATGCTGGGATGACAGGCGTGAGCCACCACAACCAACTGTAATGACTAACTTTACCAAGTACTTACTATTTGCCCAGCACTCTTTCGAGTGCTTACATAAATTAGCTAATTTAACCTCCCCAACTCTCTTGTAAGGTAGGTGCTACATGTTCCCCAGTTTACCGTTGAACAAAGTGAGTCACCGATTGGGAAATGACTTGCCCCAAGTGACACATCTAGTGAGAAATGGAAAGAGGACTGCAGTCCTGGTGCACCTGTTCTGTCTGCTCCCCTGGAGAGCCCCACATGCCCTGGCGTTGTATTTCTTTTATCCAACCCTTGTTGAGGGCCATTGTGTTGTTTCTGCAGTGGCCTTGGATGTGCATCTATCTCTGACTAGGGGATATCTTTCTAGAAATGGAATTGTAGGTTAAAGGGTACAAGTTTCCTTTTGATAGATGCTACCAACTTATGCTTCAAAAGTGTGTTATTTTCACCAGGTGTGGTTCGCACCTGTAATCCCAGCTACTTGGGAGTTTGAGGTGAGAGGATCCTTGAGCCCAGGAATTCAAGGCTGCAGTGAACTATGATCCTGCCACTGTGCTCCAGCCTGGGTGGCAGAGCAAGACTCTGTATCTTAAAAAAAAAAAAAAAAAAAGCTGTCATTTTATAATCTCACAAGCCATGTGTAAAGATGATCATTTTTTCACATTCTTGCAAACTATGTTAACACAATTTTTCTTATATTATAGGTAAAAAGTGGTATCTGTTATTTTGTGCTGAATAACTGATTTTTTGGACAAATCATTAAATCAGAGAAACAAAGTTGACGAGGGTATGCAACTGCATTTGCTTGACACACAAGGAAGAAGACTGGTTCCAGAACTCCCCACTGTAAAGGAAGCAAATGAAATACAAAGTTCATCTGTTGTTATCTGGTTCTGGGAAACATCAGTCTGAGACATTCACGGCCAACAAACTGAACTTGAAACTTCTTGTTCTTTTGTAAGGCATTTTTTTTCTGTTTGCTGTGAATGTGCATTTCTAACAAGAGCATAACTTTGACAGGTAAATAATGATAGCAATAGTAAGATCTCTTTAAATGTGAATATCTATCAGGTGCAGTGGCTCATACCTGTAATCCCAGCACTTTGGGAGGCAGAGGTGAGAGGACTGCCTATGTCCAGGAGTTAAAGACCAGCCTGGGCAACTTGGTGAGACCTCCTCTCTACAATCAATCAAAAATTAGTCAGGCATTGGTGGTGCACTTCTGTGGTTCCAGTTACTTGGAAAGCTGAGGGCGGAAGCATCACCTGAGCCCAGAAGGTCAAGGCTGTGGTGGCCGTGAGCATGCCACTGCACTCCAGCCTGGGCAACAGAGTGAGATACTGACTCAAAAAAAAAAAAGCAAATATCAGAGCACCACCGTGCGACCCAGCCAGCTGTAGGGTTGTTCTCAGCAGGCTGGATTCCAAACCAGGGCCTTGAACACTCGCAGGCATTGTTAAAGGTATTTGGGTTGTTACCCAAAACATTGAAAGAAACTGGCCCTGACCCTGAGCCAAATTCCTTAAACTCTCACGTAAACTTCATACCCTGACCCCTTGCTGTGGATACAACCTAGGTGGGACGCCTCTTTTCTCCTACTGTCTGTCTTGAGGATTGCTGCAGTATTCCAAATCCTCGCATGAAATCTATGGACTAGCTGGGCTCGGTGGCTCAGCCTGTAATCCCGTACCTTTGGGAGGCTGAGGTGAGTGGATTGCCTGAGCCAGCGGGTTCGAGACCCACCTGGGCAACTTGGTGCGACCTCATCTCTACAATAAATAAAATTAGCCAGGCGTGGTAGTACACGCCTGTAGTTCCAGCTACTTGGAAGGCTGAGGCGGAAGGAACGTGGGAGCACAGCAGGTTGAGGCTGCGGTGGCTGGGAGTGGCCAGTGCACTCCAGTCTGGGCGACCGAGTGAGATTCCAACTCAAAA